CTATTTTTATGCGCATTTTGGATGAACGCATAAAAAAACGGCTCGATGGAAACGTCAAGATATAACGCAAAGTCACATGACTTTTTCAATGCGCATGGTGGAATTTATTCGGTAAATGCGTTTCCATCGTAGTTTATGCACATTTTTTTCTTATCGGATAAAAAGTTTATCCTACTCAGTTGTGCGCATGTTAAATTCGCGTCTTTGGATGGAAACATAGCTACTGTTATCATGTTTAACGTGACGTTGTTCTTGCGTTTCAGCATCTGACCAAACACACCAAGTTTGTGCGCGACATGATTCGTGAGGTGTGCGGTTTCGCGCCGTACGAGAGGCGCGCTATGGAGCTGCTCAAGGTGTCCAAGGACAAACGCGCCCTCAAGTTCATCAAGAAAAGGGTGCGTGTTGAATTTGTCAAGTTTACCTACTTTGGTGTTCCCAGTCAAAAAAAGTGACCAGCCGTTGAGAATTGCTTGTAAATTTCTCATTATGCTATGTTATAACCAAATGTTGGATTCAGTCTTTTGTCAACCTGTTTTCTTCCAGTCAACACCGTTTTTGTTTGTTTTTGGAACTGGTGGATCGTAGGCCTCAATGCTCCTCACATTTTGAGTGAATATTGCCAAAATTATCCACAAATTATGCGATATCGCAATTGCGAGTTAAAAAGTCATTGTGAGATAAAAAGTCTCAATTCTGAGAAATAGTCAGAATTGCGAGAAAAGGTCAATTGCGAGAAAAAGTCAGAATTGCGAAATATAAACTTGCAATTGCGAGAAAAAAAGTCAGAATTGAGAGAAAAAAAAGTCAGAATTGCGAAATATAAACTCGCTATTGTGAGAAAAAAAGTCAGAATTGCAAGAAAAAAAGTCAGAATTGAGAGAAAAAAAGTCAGAATTGCGAAATATAAACTCGCTATTGTGAGAAAAAAAGTCAGAATTGCGAAATATAAACTCGCTATTGCGAGAAAAAAGTCAATTGCAAAATATAAACTTGCTATTGCTACAAAAAAAAAGTCAGAATTGTGAAATAAAAAGTCGCAATAACCTTTTTTTTTTTATTCAGTGGCGGAACGGGCTTCCATACAGATCAGTGCAGCCTTCGTTCTCCCCCGAAAAAACAAGAAATACAAAACCTGTGCTAATCGAAAGAAAAGTTGGCAAAAAATGCTGTAATATAGCATAAGAAATGTATTAGCAGGCCAGTAATTTTTATTTTTTTTTATCACAAGTGTAACAAAGTGGGGGTTTTATTCGCATCATATCACAAATTGTGCAGCATGACAGAAAATTTAGTTTTGTTCATGTTACATTATTTATATCCATATACATTGATATAATTTGAAAGAAAACATCTTTGAAACAACTATAAAAATGTAAACAATTTGTACAAAGTCTGAAAAAAGATGGTATTGGAGCAATGACCGATATGATTTTTGCAGTTTGTTGCAACTTTTCTTTCTTTTTTTTAAATGACTGAATTTTTCAGTCCAAATTTAGTTCTTTTCTGATACTACAGGACATTACTGACACCTGACCAGTGTTATTTTAGTATAATTGAGATACTAATATAGCTTTTATTAATGTTTTGAATTAGATGTTTTTTATATTAATTTTGATTAAATTTTGATTTTAAATAAGAATTTAATCAATCTTTTTACGATTTAGATTAATTTTGTTTTTGAATTGGATTAAGTTTCAGTATTTGTGTAATGCGTTCATATAGTTTCATTAATTTACTTGGTTTAATTATTTTAGTATATTAAATTAAATGAAAATGTTTTAGCTGATTTAATAACTTAATATATTTTTTCTATTTTGTTTCAGTTGTAAAAGTTTTTTTTTTTTTTTTTTTCAATTAACTGTTTTAGATAACTGTAATAATACAGCATCTGACCTTATGTTTACGTGATGAAGCCACTCAATGATATTTTAACAGCACATAAAACTGCTGTTGTAGAGGCAGGTTTGATTTCTGCTGAA